GGTCTCAGATCCCGGACCGCTCTGCCGCCCCGCAGCCGCCGGACTCACCCGCGAGATGGTGAGGGGCGCGCTGAAGTCCCGGCCGCCCACCAGGCGGAAGCCCCAGGGCGAAGGCCCGCGCAGGGTCACGGAATGGGGCATCGCGGGCCGGAGCCGCGGCCAGAGCCTGAGCCGGACTCTGAGGAGCCGCCGCCGCCGCCGCCGCCGCTTGGAAGCTGCGCCCCGCCCCCGGCCCGCCAGTCCCTGTTCCCCTCGGCCCGGCCCCCGCCCCCGCTCCCGGCGCGCCCGGATTGGCCCCGCTGCCAGCCCGACCCTCCCACTTCGGGGGCTCTGAGGACCAGCCCTCAGTCCCGGCTGCCTGTAACCCGGCACCCCCAGCCAGCTCTCAAGAGACCCCCGGTTTTCGACGGCCCCGACGGCCTGGATCCTGCTTCAGATCTCAGATCTGCAGGCGGCGGACCCAAACCCGGCTGCCGACACCGGCCCTTTGAAATCCCTTCTAGGGGCGGTTCTCCAGCCCTAGGAGGGATTGGGGGGCCCATTTGGGGGATGGGGCTGCGCCCAGCTCAGATTCTCCTCAGGGGTCCTACTTGCAAACCTGCGGCCCATCCTGTCCGGTGAGGAGCCCCCTGAACCAAGAGCCCTCTGAACCAAGGGCCTGCGCAGCACTGGGTCAGAGACGCAGACCCAAGACAACAGCAGGTAGCGCAGAGCATGGGAGTGGACGCAGAAGGGTCCTCAGGGTAATTTGTGGAGGCCAGTAAGGCTTCCTGGAAGAGAGGGCCCCTGACTTGCATCTTGAAGCAAGGTGTCCCTGTTCCCCCAGGACACTCAGGCCTTCTCTTGCTGCTCACAGGCTCCTTGCAGGTCACCTCCCTGTCTGCACAGCCCTCTCCCCTCGTCCTTTGCCAGCTTTGTTTCCCCAGGTCTCCGGAGAAAGGAGCAGCTGGAGCGCCTGGGGTTGTGGCTGTGCAGTGTGAAGGGAAGAAATAAGTGCAGCTCTTCACTTTGGGCTCTTCTCTCTCCAAGGTCTTCTCTCCATTCCCAGCCATTATCCTCCGGGATGTCCTTGAACAGCCACTGCAGGCACCATGGCACCACCACCCACCCTCTGGTTCTCCCAGCACTTCTGTCTGGCTACATCAGGGAGACACGATTTGCTTCTCCAGACCCTGTGGGGGCCTCTAATTTAGCCCACATCCCTAACGAACCTCTGTTGCCTTTTAGCTAAACTGTGATAAGGGCCCTGTTCTTGGGCTCCTCACAAGTGGTGGGGTGAGATGTGTCCACTGGGTCTCTGCAACCCCCAAAGAGGCAGACTACTTGAGAGGCACAAACCTAGGGCAGTCCAAGGAAGGGAGGGGCCCTTCAGGGTAGAATGTGGGTGCCTCTGTGGGAAGCAAGATGCTGCTATCTGCTCAGCCGGGAGAGAAACAAGTGGTGTGTGGTAGTGGTGTGTAAATGGGAGTGTGGTGCATTTGGGGTGTCTGAATCCATTAGCGCACCAGCCATTGGGCTTTCTTCATCACTCTGTGGTGTAGGAGGTTTCTGCTCAGCCCTATGCAGACTTGGACTCCATGTAGACAAAGGTGGAAGGTCCAGAAGAAGAACTGGTCCCTGCATGGTCTCTCTGAGGTCTGTAGGCCAGAACCTCCCCAGGACTTAGACCCTACTAAATGAAAGTGGGTAGAAAGTGGGAGGCAGCCATCCCTTTCCCTGGCTGTCCTGAGAGCTGGGTGTACAGCATGGCCTGTGGTCAGAGGTCCCTTAGCTGGACTCCAAGAGTCCTAGTGAATGTAAACAGTGCAGAGCTTTGCTGAGGGGAAGGGATCCTCAAGGGTCTGCATAAACTTCCACCCAGTGCATCCCACAGTGGATTCCTGAAACTCCTCTTTCAACGTTGCTTGCTTCCCCCAGTTTTATACCCTCGAAACTGCCCACACTCCTTGCCTCCATCCTGAAATTCCCTCATTACCCATTTACTTCTGTCAGAGGGAATGTGAAGTGGTCCTCCTGAATATGACCTTCCTGGCCCCTCAGTCTCTGGGTAGTGTAATCCATCTCCAAAGGCTTCTGTTACAGGGTTGGGGTTGAAGGCAGAGTGGGGACTCTGGAGGACGTTTTTTAGAATCTGGTCCATTAACTTCCCCATTTCATTGTGCAGTGTCTGGACAGATTGGAATGATACAAGATCCAGGTCCAGGCCAGTCATCCCTCACATGGGCTCATGATGACATCCTTGACTTAAGAGAACATCAGGTTTACTTCTGACTGTGCCTTCACAGAGGGAAGATGCCAGGGTCAGGCTGTGTACCTGGAGTTTGGGGTGGCCCTTCTTAGGGGCCATAGCATGAATCCACTCCTAAGGTACCCTGAATTCTAGGCAGGGGGTCAGACAAGCTGCAGATTCTGTGGCTTTTCCAACTCTCCCAAAACTTCTTTATGGAAGCCCTCAGATTTCCTTTTTCCCTGTAATGGCCTTAGTCTTGGGAGATTGCTGTATTGCTGAGACCCTATCATGCTGGAGTACCAAGTCCTAGGGCAGCCGCAGGATCTGGAAGCCGTCTTCAAGGTGGGGATATGTTGTGGCCTTACCTCTGACCTGGTGGCCTTCACATATTTACTGTACACCCATCAGGTGTCTGTGCTGCTGGGAATAACCAGACTGCTTATTTCATGCATTCTTCTTCTGTGCATAAGTATGTATTGAGTGCTTCCCATATGCCAAGTCCTGCTCAGGGCTGGGTCAAGGCATCCATAAGGTCAGGGGCTGCGTCTTTCTTATTTATTTATGTCGCTCCAGCACCCCGCAGAGAACTTGGCACACAGAAGCATTAGAAAATGTTTTCTATTAACAACACCACTGTTAATAGGAATTATTATCTTAGCTTACCTCTTGGACATGACCCAAAGGGAGGCACAGCGAGCATGAGGGGGCTTAGGAAGGTGAAGAATTCGGCTCCTGCTGCCTTCAAGCCCACACCCAGTGGCTCAGGGCATGATGTCCAGGCCTTCTGTGTAAGGCCAGGTCTGTCCAAGGCCAGGGGAAGTCACAGTGATTTTTCCTCAATGGGTAGGCAGGGCTGGCAGGCTCCAGCAGAAGCAGACACCCTTGGGAATACTGTTGGGCCTGAGCCTAGAATGAGAGGGAAGGATTGGGATAGGAACAAGGGCAAGGTCAACTTGGAGGACAGTCCAGGAGAATGCCCAGAGTTGATGTATCCCTGAGTGGGGAGGTGGGGTAGAGCTAATGCGGCAGCCCATATTTGAGGATACCTTCCCGTGGGGCCGTGGGGGCTAGCCAGAGAGCTTAGCTGCTGACCTAGCTCAGACCTGGCCTAGTGGCCTCAGGTCTCTAGGTAGAGTCTGCTCCATTCAGACTCAACTCCTTGAGGCCAAGACATCTATGCTTCAAGGCTCAGGGCCCTTTCCCCAACCAAGAGCCTGGATTCCAAGGGAATCTAAAGCCTTGCTTGAGAGTGCCTTCTTCCTGGAATGCCCAGTCCACAATACTGAGCACTCCAGGGCCTTAGCAAGCAGCCAGAGAGAACTTTAGATGCCCTGTTTCAGTGTGACTTCTCTGGCCCAGCTCTACCCTGGGGTCTGCTCTCTTAGAAGCCTAATGGTCAAGGCCAGGAGCCCTAGTGGTGGAGAGGAAGCAGTCGATAGGGCAGAGCTGGATAGAGGGGGCTGTGTGGGCCTCCTGCAGGGCTAGAACTGGGCCTTAGAGGGATAGGGAGTTAGGCAGGCCCACCCTAGGCAGGGGTCAGGGCTCTGGAAGGGGTAGAGGCAGCCAGGGGCATGGGCACTAGGCAACACCCAGAAGGAAGGTCTGAGACAATACAGCCTGGAAGGTGGGCTGGGGACTGATGCCTAGCATATCTTGGAAGGACAGGACTCAGTTAAACAGGCAACAAAACTGGTCTTGGAGCTGAGGTTGGTTCAGCAGAACACACGGGAGGACATGCCTGGCAAAGGGCGTTCCCCAGCTCTAGTTTTGTGCCATTTAATCCCTCAACAAATGCTTATTGAGTGCCTGCTATGTGTCCAGCCCAGACCTCATCAACTAACCTGGGGGCGTGGTGGGGATTCTTCAAGCTGCCACACCTCTCTGGGGGCTGAGATGCTGGAGGCTCCGGAGGGGGCCAGTCTCCAAGGATCCAAACAGGGACAAAGCTGACTCTGCCAACTGGTCAGCAACTCTGCCAACTGGCCAGTCATTCTGCCTGGTTATTGGCCCTGAACCAGATTCCAGGGCAGACACAAAAGAAGAACCAACTCTCTTAAGGAAACAGCCTGGGGGATGGTGTGTGACCATCGCACACGCACAGTTTCAAGTGGTAGGTCTGGGGTTTTAGACCCTGTGTTGGTACCTTTGTGCCATGCCCCTTGCCCCAGGGTCAGATGTGTCTCAGCCGGACCTGCAGTCCCCATCAGCACCCCCGTCAGACCTGCTCTGTCTCTGTTTTCACAGAGAAAACCAGTCTGCTCTGGGACCCAACAAAGGGCTGCCAGGAAGCAGGGCAGGGACAGGTTTACCTAGCTGGGCCCAGAGAGGCCCCAGCCCTGAGGCCTGGGAGTAGAAGGGTGTTGGGAGGAGTGGCATCTCACACAGGGGGAAGGCAACCGACATGTGTGAGAGCCAGAGGAGGCTCAGCCCAGCCCCAGCTAGGAAGTGACAGAACAGGCTGCCCATGGTGGCAGTGAGGCCAATGTGATGGAGCCTTTCACAACTGGGGCCTCAGGAAGGCAGCTTGGAACAACACCACAGCCTCTCCCCTGCCTCAAGGAGACCCCCATCCTTTCACCCCTCCCATTTCTCATTCAAGCCACGGCGTGCAGGCAGCCTGCCTGCCATCCCCCAGTCTCCCCCAGCATCAGATGGCCCAAGTCTACCTGTAGTCCATAAATAGAGGCTGAACCCAGGTGTCTTCAGGTTTCCAGTTTCTTCTGACAGCTGGAGGCTTCCCCTAGCTTTGTCTCCTAGTGTCTGTGAGGAGAAGGTGCCTCCATTTACAAATCACCTCCTCCAGGCAGAGCAGCAGAGTGATCCAGGAGCAACTGCACTGTGCACTCATTCTACCCCCGGATATAGAATATCTTGGCCATGGCCTGACCATCACTATGTATGGACGAAAACAGGGGTATAAAACCCTTTCCTTCTCAGCTTGAGAGAGAGAGAGAGAGAGAGAGAGAGAGAGAGAGAGAGAGAGATGCCGCTGTGAAGGCTCAAGCAAAAGTGCAGGGATGACAAGGAGACAGGCATGGATGCAGCCCAGAAATCCAGTTAACTGGGGCTCCCCAGACATACACTGTCACTCATCTGTCAGCTGGGCCCTGGACTCATGGTCCAGCTTTAGCACATCCACAGCCCACACATCCACAGAAACTCAAACTTAACAGTGGCCTGGCCAGGACAGTCCAGTCTCAGGCCTGAGGCCCTTCCTTCTAGAGCTGACATCCAGGGCTACTCGGAGGGCAGGAGGGGCCCAGACTGCTTCCATATTGCTTCTTCCCTTTCTCCTTTCCTTTCTTCCTTTTTTTTTTTTTAAATACCAGCTAGAATGAGCTTGTAGTACTTTCATATTTCTAGGTTCCCAGTAAAATAAAAATGGAAGAAATGTGAAAATAGTGTTTCCAGAATTATGGCATTTGCTACTTATGCTTCGTTCATTTATTCATCAGACATTTATGAGGGACTCCTATGTGTCAGGCCCTGTTTTAGGCCTGAGTGTTGAACTATTAAGTCTTATGTATTTCTTTATTTATTGTTACTGTCTTTTAAAAAGAGATGGGGTCTTGTCATGTTGCCCAGGCTGGTCTTGAACTCCCGGGCACAAGCAATCTGGCCACTTCAGCCTCCCAAAATGCTAGGATTACAGGTGTGAACCACTGTGCCAGGCCTTAAGTCTTTATAATACACATTTAAAATGGATAGCCTCATTTGGAAATAACTTTGAAGATTTAAATTGTAGTCTTCCTGGTTCTTCTTCTCAGGAGGGACCCCCATAACCCCTGATGCCCATGATTTTCTCACTGGTATAGATTAGGCCTCTGTCTCTTGATCCTGAGGGGTCATGGGGGCTGTGATTCAGATTGGCAGAGGTGGTAAAGCTCTCCTCAGGAGTCCAGCTAGCACAGGCCTGTCGCTAGTCTATCCTCCTCGCCCCATCCTTTCTATCTCTTACGATTGGCCCTCTCCCCTGCAGTGCCAACACCTTTAGTCACTGATTGGTCTTGGTGAAGTGCACTGCCCAGTGGTGACTGAGTCACAGGTTGGCAGGAACTGTTCAGGCTGACCTCACCTCCGGGCCTGGCCATAGGACACCAGCTGTGGCCACCTGGTGTGAGCCTGGCCGTCTGTGTTGCTAGGAGAGTTGGGCAGAGCCATGTCGCTGAGTCCAGTAGCTGCCAGCTGGCCCAGAGGTCTGGGAATCCAGGTGCAGGGGGCCATAGGGATTAAAGTCGGAAAATACAGATCCGGGCCTGTGAGGGTGAAGCTGGGCTGAGGTTGCTTGGAGGCTCTTGAGAGAATGTATTGGAGTGGGGCACATGAGTCAGCCTCATGTCCTGGGTGGCTATTTTCTTGGCTCCTAAAAAAATCAAAATTCTTTCTCATTTCCCCTCCCAAGTCTAGGTCCATAGCTGTGTAGATCCAGGACCAGCTGTGGGGAGTTGGAGGCAGAGCTTTCAGTGGGAATGGAGCTGAAATCCTCACACCTTGCATCTCTTGTACCCACCCACAATGGTAAGAGCCTTTACAGGACTTGAGCTTCCACCAAGAGGATGCCTGATCACATTGTTTGCAGCCTGTGAGATCACCATATTAATGGGAAGGTAGGCTTGCTTGGGAACAGTGGAGGCTGTGCTTCTCCTGCAGGAGAAACCAGGAGCTCTAACACAATGTATAAGAGAGCTTCTATGCATGTAGAGATAAACAAGAAGCTGTTTCATCCCAGGAAAGATGAAGAAATAATGATGGATCTGGGCTTGAAGTGCACACAGTGTTGGAAAAGGCCCTACCCAAAGCTTTAGGACCAGCAGTCCCTGAGAAGTAGCTGTGTCTAGGATTAAGTCAAGCTGACCACACAGAACTGTGACATTGGGCATTCAAGCATGAAGCATTGTTGGCCCAGAGAAGGTGCACAAGCATTCTCCCTCAGAGAACCATGGTGTTCCAGAGCCAGAGAGAGATAGGGCGCTTCCACAGTCCTTGTGAAGATCTGTTAGCCTAATAATAATCATTCTTTTTGCTTTAAATAGTCAATTGCTTTTTAAGTAATTTAAAAAACAAGAAAATCTATTTTCTATTTACTTGTTAGGTTTACTGGTAGTACTTGTTCTTTCATTTAGAGATGAATTTCCAACATTTTCCAAATTTTTTTATATCAATGAGCCATCTCAGCAGAGATATGGCTTCTTTCCCCTCAGCCTTAAGAAATTCCTTTAACATTTCCGGTAGTACAGACTGACTGGTGATGAATTCAGTCAGCATTTTTTTAAATCCCAAAGTATCTTTGTTTCTCATTTTCCACCCCCTTCTCTTTTTTTTTGGAGGCAGAGTCTTGCTCTATCCCCTAGTGAAGTGCAGCGGGGTGATCTCAGCTCACTGCAACCTCTGACGACTGGGTTCAAGCAATTTTTATGCCTCAGCCTTGTGAGTAGCAGGATTATAGGCACCTGCCACCATGCCTGGCTAATTTTTGTATTTTTAGTAGAGCCGGGGTTTCACCATGTTGGCCAGGCTGGTCTCGAACTCTTGACCTCAAATGATCCACCTGCCTTGGCCTCCATAAGTGCTGGGATTACAGGTGTGAGCCACCATGCCTGTCTTCTCATTCCCCTTTTAAAGATAACTTCTAGGGATATAGAATACTAGGTTGCTTTTTTCTCATAGATTACTTAATATTTAATATATAATTCTTATAATTCTATTGTTTTCTGTCTTGTGTTACTCTTGGTAAGAAATAAATGGTGATTCTTATCATTGTTTCCCTTATGTAATGTGTCTACATTTTTTTTTTTTTTTGAGACGGAGTCTCTCTCTGTCACCCAGGCTCGAGTTCAGTGGCACGATCTTGGCTCACTGCAACCTCCATCTCCCAGGTTCAAGAGATTCTCCCGTCTCAGCCTCCCAAGTAGCTGTGACTACAGGTGCAAGCCACCACTCCTGGCAATTTTTTTTTGTATTTTTAGTAGAGATGGGATTTCACCATGTTAGCCAGGATGGTCTTGATCTCCTGACCTCATGAGCCACCCACTTCAACCTCCCAAAATGCTGGGATTACAGGTGTGAGCCACCACACCCAGCCAAGTGTCTGTATTCTTTTATAGCTTCTAAAATGTTCTATTTGGTTTTAAGATTTTGACTGTAATGTTCCTAGATGTAGTTTCCTTGTTTTTATCTTGTTTAGATTTTAAAACCTCAGCTTCTTGAGATGGTGTATTAATAATGTTTTAGGTCAAATACAGAATTTTAGTTACTATTTAAGAGAATTTTTTTTTGCCCCACTCTCCTTCTGCCCTTTCCTTCTGGGCCTCCAAGTTTATGTATATATTAGATTGTACAATACTGTTTCAAGGTCACTTTATTGAGTCTGTGTTTGTATTTTTCAGTCCTTTTTCTTTTAGATATTTTCCATTTTCTTGACTTTAAGTTCATTGATCATTTCTTCTGTAGCATCCAGTCTCCTCAAAATCTAGTAAATTTTTCATTTTGTATATTGTATTTTTCAGTTCTAGAATTTTCATTTAGCTATTTTTTATAGTTTTCATTTCCCTGCTGAGATAGATCCTGTGTTATTTATTATGTCCGTCTTGTAATTTAAAATTCTTTAACATATTTATAATAGCTGTTTAAAGTCCTCATCTGCTAATTCCAGTATCTGTGTTACCTCTGGATCTATTTCTGTTGATTATTTTTCGTACTGGTTATGGATCATATTTTCCTGCTTCTTCATATGTTTGTAATGTTTGACTGTACATTGGGAATTGTGAATACTTCATTGCTTAGAGTTTGGGTCATGTTTAAAGAGTGTTGAGTTCGTTTTACTAGACAGTAAATTCACTAGAGGCTTAATGTGAGCCTATGAGGCTTGGTTTTAGGCTTTATTAGGGCAGGTCTAAAATAATGCATATTGCAGGCATACAGTAGCCCTATTCCTAAGATGTGGAATTTCTAGGCTTTTAACTGAGTGAGTGCTCAGGATGTTCAACAAAGTCTTTTCACTTTGGTTGATCAGAACAGGTCTCAGAATCAAGAGTCCTCTGGAATCCCCACTTAGTTCTTAGACCCAGAGAGGTTTTTATGTGTTTGTTTGTTGTTTTTAATCCACTAGGCCTTATGGAATCTTGCTCTACATGTGAGTAAATTCACTCACATGTGAATTTGACATGTGAGGCTTAGACAGGCTTCTTCTTTGATACCTTGTTCCACAAATTTCATCCACCTCAGCATCTGCTACCTATGATCTTTGTTTCCTTCACTTGGTGAGACCATTGCGTGCTCTCTCTCTCTCTCTCTCTTCTTGGAGACAGGATCTCACTCTGTTGCCCAGGCTGGAAGGCATGATTATGGCTCACTGCAGCCTCAACCTGCAGGCCTCAAGTGATCCTTCCACCTAAGCCTCTGGAGTAGCTGGGATGACAAGTATGCACCACAATACCTGGCTAATTTTTAAATTTTTGTAGACACAGAGTCTTGCTATGTTGCCTAAGCTGGTCTCAAATTCCTGGCCTCAAGGGATCCTCCCACCTCAGCCTCCTAATATGCTGGGATTACAGACATGAGACACTGTGCCTGGTGCTATTGTTTCCTAGATGTAGTTTCCTGGGTACCACTTCCCTGTGCCATGGTTTGGAAAGTATCCCAGGCAAAGCACTTTGGTAAATATGAAGTTCACTTTGTGTATTTCTCTTCCCTCAAGGACAAAAGCTATTTGATGTTCAATGCCTGTAATGGAACTGGAATTGTCTGTTTCCATTTGTCCTCAACTTTTGTTCCAAGAGCTACTGCAGGAACATACCAGAAAAGCTGAGAGAATCCACAGACCCTTTGAAGGAACTGGATCAATCTTGCAGGCTCCTTGAGATGCAAAATAACTGTGAGTCTGCTTGTTTTCTCAGCAGGGAGGCTCATGGTCTGGGGCAAGTTCTCAGCCCTGGGCACTGGCCTGGAAATAGACTCAGTACTGTTGTGGGGGCACAATGTGAGTGAGACTGGCCTTTAGAACTGCAGGCTGCATGGGAGCAGGGTGAGGCCTGTAACTGCTAGCTTTCCCCCACTTCTGTGGCAACCTGTATGATTCAGCAGAGGCAGCCATAATTCCCTTGGGAGTATAACTTCATTGGACTGAGAAGCACACCCCCAACCCCCACAGCAGCTGCAGCAAGCCCTGCCCAAGGACAGGCTGAGCTCAGAAATGCATATTCCTCCTGTCCCCGCCTCAACCTTGTGGTCTTTCTTTGGTCATAAGCTCTTAGGAGCTCTCTGGCCCTGTCCACCATCTTTTTTTTTTTTTTTATTGCATTTTACGTTTTGGGGTACATGTGCAGAACATGCAAGACAGTTTCATAGGTACACACATGGCAGTGTGTTTTGCTTCCTTTCTCCCCTTCACCCACATTTGGCATTTCTCCCCAGGCTATCCCTCCCTACCTCCTCTCCCACTGGCCCTCCCCTTTTCCCCCCAATAGACCCCAGTGTTTAGTACTCCCCTCTCTGTGTCCATGTGTTCTCATTTTTCATCACCCACCTATGAGTGAGAATATGCGGTGTTTCATTTTCTGTTGTTGTGTCAGTTTGCTGAGAATGATGTTCTCCAGATTCATCCATGTCCCTACAAACGACACAAACTCATCATTTCTGATTGCTGCATAATATTCCATGGTGTATATGTGCCACATTTTCCCAATCCAGTCTATCATCAATGGGCATTTGGGTTGATTCCAGGTCTTTGCTATTGTAAACAGTGCTGCAATGAACATTCGTGTGCATGTGTCCTTATAGTAGAACGATTTATAGTCCTTTGGATATATACCCAGTAATGGGATTGCTGGGTCAAATGGAATTTCTATTTCTAAGGCCTTGAGGAATCGCCACACTGTCTTCCACAATGGTTGAACTAATTTACACTCCCACCAACAGTGTAAAAGTGTTCCTATTTCTCCACATCCTCTCCAGCATCTGTTGTCTCCAGATATTTTAATGATCGTCATTCTAACTGGAGTGAGATGGTATCTCAATGTGGTTTTGATTTGCATCTCTCTGATGTCCAGTGATGATGAGCATTTTTTCATATGATTGTTGGCCTCATATATGTCTTCTTTTGTAAAGTGTCTGTTCATATCCTTTGCCCATTTTTGAATGGGCTTGTTTGTTTTTTTCCTGTAAATCTGTTTGAGTTCTTTGTAAATTCTGGATATCAGCCCTTTGTCAGATGGGTAAACTGCAAAAATTTTTTCCCATTCTGTTGGTTGCCGATTCACTCTAGTGACTGTTTCTTTTGCGGTGCAGAAGCTGTGGAGTTTCATTAGGTCACATTTGTCTATTTTGGCTTTTGTTGCCAATGCTTTTGGTGTTTTGTTCATGAAGTCCTTGCCTACTCCTATGTCCTGGATGGTTTTGCCTAGATTTTCTTCTAGGGTTTTTATGGTGCCAGGTCTTATGTTTAAGTCTTTAATCCATCTGGAGTTAATTTTAGTGTAAGGGGTCAGGAAGGGGTCCAGTTTCTGCTTTCTGCACATGGCTAGTCAGTTTTCCCAACACCATTTTTTAAACAGGGAATCCTTTCCCCGTTGCTTGTTTTTGTCAGGTTTATCAAAGATTGTATGGTTGTAGATATGTTGTGTTGCCTCCGAAGTCTCTGTTCTGTTCCATTGGTCTATATCTCTGTTTTGGTACCAGTACCATGCTGTTTTGATTACTGTAGCCTTGTAGTATAGTTTGAAACCCAGTAGTGTGATGCCCCCTGCTGTGTTCTTTTTGCTTAGAATTGACTTGGCTATGTGGGCTCTCTTTTGGTTCCATATGAAGTTCATGGTGGTTTTTTCCAGTTCTGCGAAGAAAGTCAATGGTAGCTTGATGGGAATAGCGTTGATTCTGTAAATTACTTTGGGTAGTATAGCCATTTTCACGATATTAATTCTTCCTAACCATGAACATGGAATGTTTCTCCATCTGTTTGTGTCCTCTCTGATTTCGTTGATCAGTGGTTTGTAGTTTTCCTTGAAGAGGTCCCTTACGTTCCTTGTGAGTTGTATTCCAAGGTATTTTATTCTTTTTGTAGCAATTGTGAATGGCACTTCATTCTTGATTTGGCTCTTTTTAAGTCTGTTATTGGTGTATAGGAATGCTTGTGATTTTTGCACATTGATTTTATATCCTGAGACTTTGCTGAAGCTGCTTATCAGTTTCAGGAGTTTCTGGGCTGAGGCGATGGGGTCTTCTAGGTATACTATCATGTCATCTGCAAATAGAGACAATTTGGCTTCCACCTTTCCTATTTGAATACCCTTTATTTCTTTTTCTTGCCTGATTGCTCTGGCTAGAACTTCCAGTACTATATTGAATAGGAGTGGTGAGAGAGGGCATCCTTGTCTAGTGCCGGATTTCAAAGGGAATGCTTCCAGTTTTTGCCCATTCAGTATGATATTGGCTGTTGGTTTGTCATAAATACCTTTTATTACTTTGAGAAGTGTTCCATCGATACCAAGTTTATTGAGGGTTTTTAGCATAAAGGGCTGTTGAGTTTTGTCGAATGCCTTCTCTGTGTCAATTGAGATAATCATGTGGTTTTTGTTTTTGGTTCTGTTTATGTGGTGAATTACGTTTATAGACTTGCGTAGGTTGAACCAGCCTTGCATCCCCAGGATGAATCCTACTTGATCATGATGAATAAGTTTTTTGATTTGCTGTTGCAATCGGCTTGCCAATATTTTCTTGAAGATTTTTGCATCTATGTTCATCATGGATATTGGCCTGAAGTTTTCTTTTCTTGTTGGGTCTCTGCCGGGTTTTGGTATCAGGATGATGTTTGTCTCATAAAATGATTTGGGAAGGATTCCCTCTTTTTGGATTATTTGGAATCATTTCAGAAGGAATGGTACCAGCTCCTCTTTGTGTGTCTGGTAGAATTCGGCTGTGAACCCGTCTGGACCTGGGCTTTTTTTGTGTGGTAGGCTCTTAATTGCTGCCTCGACTTCTGACCTTGTTATTGGTCTATTCATAGTTTCAGCTTCCTCCTGGTTTAGGCTTGGGAGGACACGGGAGTCCAGGAATTTATCCATATCTTCCAGGTTTACTAGTTTATGTGCATAGAGTTGTTCATAATATTCTCTGATGATGGTTTGAATTTCTGTGGGATCTGTGGTGATTTCCCGTTTATCATTTTTTATTGCATCTATTTGGTTGTTCTCTATTTTATTTTTAATCAATCTGGCTAGTGGTCTGTCTATTTTGTTGATCTTTTCAAAAAACCAGCTCTTGGATTTATTGATTTTTTGAAGGGTCTTTCGTGTCTCAATCTCCTTCAGTTCAGCTCTGATCTTAGTTATTTCTTGTCTTCTGCTGGGTTTTGAGCTTTTTTGATCTTGCTCCTCTAGCTCTTTCAATTTTGACAATAGGGTGTCAATTTTGGATATCTTCATTCTCCTCATATGGGCACTTATTGCTATATACTTTCTTCTAGAGACTGCTTTAAATGTGTCCCAGAGATTCTGGCATGTTGTGTCTTCGTTCTCATTGGTTTCGAAGAACTTCTTTATTTCTGCCTTCATTTCATTGTTTATCCAGTCAACATTCAAGAGCCAGTTGTTCAGTTTCCATGAAGCTGTGTGGTTCTGGGTTGGTTTCTGTATTCTGAGTTCTAGCTTGATTGCACTATGGTCTGAGAAGCTGTTTGTTATGATTTCAGTTGTTTTGCATTTGCTGAGCAGTGCTTTACTTCCAATTATGTGGTCAATTTTAGAGTATGTGTGATGTGGTGCTGAGAAGAATGTATATTCTGTGGATTTGGGGTGGAGAGTTCTGTAAATGTCTATCAGGTTTGCTTGCTCCAGGTCTGAGTTCAAGCCCTGGATATCCTTGTTGATTTTCTGTCTGGTTGATCTGTCTAATATTGACAGTGGAGTGTTAAAGTCTCCCACTATTATTGTGTGGGAGTCTAAGTCTCTTTGTAAGTCATTAAGAACTTGCCTTATGTAACTGGGTGCTCCTGTATTGGGTCCATATATGTTTAGGATCGTTAGCTCTTCTTGTTGTATCGATCCTTTTACCATTATGTAATGGCCTTCTTTGTCTCTTTTGATCTTTGTTGCTTTAAAGTCTATTTTATCAGAGATGAGAATTGCAACTCCTGCTTTTTTTTTGCTCTCCATTTGCTTGGTAAATCTTCCTCCATCCCTTTATTTTGAGCCTTTGTGTACCCTTGCATGTGAGATGGGTTTCCTGGCTACAGCACACTGATGGGTTTTGGATTTTTATCCAATTTGCCAGTCTGTGTCTTCTGATTGGTGCATCTAGTTCATTTACATTTAGGGTTAATATTGTATGTGTGAATTTGATACTGCCATTTTGATGCTAAGTGGCTGTTTTGCCTGTTAGTTGTTGTAGATTCTTCATTATGTTGATGCTCTTTAGCATTTAGTGTGATTTTGGAATGGCTGATACTGGTTGTTCCTTTCTATGTGTAGTGCCTCTTTCAGGAGTTCTTGTAAAGCAGGCCTAGTGGTGACAAAATCTCTGAGTACTTGCTTGTTCGCAAAGGATTTTATTTTTCCTTCACTTATGAAGCTCAGTTTGGCTGGATATGAAATTCTGGGTTGAAAGTTCTTTTCTTTAAGGATGTTGAATATTGGCCCCCACTCTCTTCTGGCTTGTTGTGTTTCTGCTGAGAGATCTGCTGTGAGTCTGATGGGCTTCCCTTTGTGGGTGACCCGACCTTTCTCTCTGGCTGCCCTTAGTATTTTCTCCTTTATTTCAACCTTGTTGAATCTGACGATTATGTGCCTTGGGGTTGCTCTTCTTGCAGAATATTTTTGTGGTGTTCTCTGTATTTCCTGCATTTGAGTGTTGGCCTGTCTTGCTAGGTGGGGGAAATTTTCCTGGACAATGTCCTGAAGAGTATTTTCCAGCTTGGATTCATTCTCTTTGTCACATTCTGGTACACCTATCAAACGTAGGTTAGGTCTCTTCACATAGCCCCACATTTCTTAAAGACTTTGCTCATTCCTTTTTGTGCTTTTTTCTCTGATCTTGGTTTCTCATTTTATTTCATTGAGTTGATCTTCGACTTCTGATAGTCTTTCTTCTGCTTGGTCAATTCGGCTATTGAAACTTGTGCATGCTTCGTGAAGTTCTCGTATTGTGTTTTTCAGCTCGTTTAATTCATTCATATTCCTTTCTAAGTTATCCATTCTTGTTATCATTTCCTCGAATCTTTTTTCAAGGTTCTTAGTTTCTTTGCATTGATTTACAACCTGTTCTTTTAGCTCACAAAAGTTTCTCATTATCCACCTTCTGAAGTCTAATTCCATCATTTCGTCACAGTCATTCTCCGTCCAGCTTTGTTCCCTTGCTGGCGAGGAGTTTTGGTCCTTTCTAGGAGGTGAGGTGTTCTGGTTTCGGGTGTTTTCCTCCTTCTTGCGCTGGTTTCTTCCCATCTTTGTGGATTTATCCACCTGTCATCTGTGTAGTTGCTGACTTTTTGGTTGGGTCTCTGAATGGACACCCAGACTGTTGATGATGAAGTATTTCTGTTACTTGGTTTTCCTTCTACCAGTCTAGCCCCTTCGCTGTATGACTGCTGAGGTCCGCTCCAGGCCCTGCTTGTCTGGGGTGCACCTGTAGCAGCTGCAGAACAGTGAGGGATGCTACCAGTTTCTTTTTCTGCTATCTTTGTCACAGAATGATACCTGCCAAATGTCAGTCTTTTTGATATAGCGGGGTCAGGGAGCTGCTTGAGGAGATAGTCTGTACTTTATAGGAGCTCAATTGCTGAGCTGTGAGCTCTGTTGTTCATTCAGGGCTGTTAGGCTGCTATGTTTAATTCTGCTGCAACAGAACTCATAAAAAAAACCCTTTTTTTCTCAGATGCTCTGTCTGCGGGGGGGGGGGGTTTGCGGCTTTATTTTTGAGTGTCTGTTGTGCTGTCCTGCCCAGCTAGGAGGCAGTCTAGTCACTATTTGCCTGTCGAGGCTCCGCCCTGCTGGTGTGAGGTTCGCCCTGTTGCTGCAGGCTCTGCCCTTCTGCTGCAGTCTCCCCCCTGCTGCCACTGGCTATGCCCTGCTGCTGCAGTCTCCCCCCTGCTGCCACTGGCTACACCCTGCTGCGGAGTCTCTCTGTTGTACCAGGTTGCCTCGGCAACGGCAGGCTGCGTCAGCAATGGGTGTGTACCTCAGTAGGGGCTGATTGCCTCGGTAATGGCGGACACATGTCCCCCACAGAGCTGCGCTTTCAGGGAACCTCTCCACCGGGAGCGTTTGGAATCGCCATTTTGTTTGTCGTACTGCACTACCCCAAACGCTGTGTCCCTGGAATCTCCTGGGCTGGCTCACTGTCCAAGTCCCGTTCAGTCTCACGTTCAGCCCTCTCAAGTCTTAGGTTGCCGGTTCAACAGGGCGCCCGGACCAGTGCACTTTGTGCGGAGTGCTGTGGAGCGCCGCTGCACTATAGAGCGGGCTGCCGTCACACCAGCTGCCAGCTACACCAGCCAAAACCTCTGCCTGGCGTCCTGCATCTCTTTTATACCTGGGAATTTCCCCGTTCTGTGGGCAACAAAGATCTGTCTGGAAATGTGGCCCTGACTCACCCTCTCCGCGCATCCACTGAGAGCTTCAATCCTGGGTTGTTCTCACAGTGCCATCTTGAGTCCTCCCCCTGTCCACCATTTTAACCAGATGTCCCTAAGGTAAATTTGCATTCTCTTTATAGGACTGAAGCTGATGTGCTCTTGAAAGCACCACCTCCTGACAGGAAAGCACCACCTCCTGGCTGGAGGCCAACTGACACAAAACCAAGGCCCTTCGCAGAGTCCACTTCACTCCCCTGCTACTTCCATAGGAGCAGGTGCTGGTATCCATGGCTGCAATACTTGAAGGTGGATCACATCACAGGACTCTGAAGACACTCCCTAGTACCAGTCTATAGCCCAGCATCTCCGCTGGGTGGCTAGACCCAGAAGAGCAGAAACAATCACTACAGTTCAGCTCTCAGAAAGCCCCATTCCTAGGGGAAGTGGGAGAATAGCACATCAAGGGAGCACCCCATGGGAAAAAAGAATCTGAACAGCAGCTCTTGAATTCCAGGCTTCCCTCTGACATAGTCTGCCTAAATGACAAAGAACCAGAAAAACAATTTTGGTAATATGAGAAAACAAGTTTCTTTAATACCCCCAAAAGATCATAAGAACCAGAAATGGATCCAAACCAAGATGAAATCTCTGAATTGCCAGAAAAAGAATTCAGAAGGTTGATTATTAAACAAATCAAGGCATCAGAGAAAAGTGAAGTCCTTCTTAAAGAAATCAAAAACATGATACAGAATTTGAAAGGAATAGTGTCAATAAGGTTTCTACCAGTTCTTCTTTGAATATCTGATAGAATTCAACTGTGAATCCATCTGGTCCTGGACTTTTTTTTTGTTGGTCATTTTAAAAAAATTACCATTTTAATCTTGCTGCTTGTTGTTGGTCTGTTGAGAGATTCTATATCTTCCTAGTTTAATCTAGGAGTGTTGTATATTTCCAGAAATGTAACCATCTCCTCTGGGTTTTCTAGTTTATATGTGTAAGGTGTTTATAGCAGCTTTGAATAATCTTTTGTATTTCTGTGGTATTGCAGTGGCTTCATTGTCTGGGGAAATACCCAGGTTCATCTCTCACTGTGAAGATTAACAATACAGACATGCACACATAGAGTAGATTAAGGAGCAGAAAGTTTAATAGACAAAAAAAGGAAGAGAGAGTGCCCAAGAGGGTTTCTGGGTTGGGGGTGGAATTCTATCCATTTTATAGAGAGGCTTGAGGAGGTGGTGTTTGACTTACATAGGGTGCAAGGGATTAGTTTGACCAGGTGTGCCATTTACATAGCCAGAGAAGAAACTGGCCATCCCACCTTAATCTTTTATTATGTAAATGTGACTTCTACCTGGCCGATGCCATTTGAACCTTGATTCCTCATTGTGCCACACATAAAACTACTTTAAGATGGATCATAGACTTAACTGTGAAACAAGCAAGCTTCTAAAAGAAACCATGGAAGCACAGTTTTACAACCTCTGGGTAGGGAAACATTTTCTTAAATGGGACATAGAAAGCACTAACTTAAATATAAAAGATATAATATGTTTGATTTGTAATAATTAAAAACTTTTATTTATCAAAAGATCCTATAAAGACAATGAAAATCAAAGCACAGATTGAGAGGGAATATTTGCAATACATATATCCAACAACAAACTTATATGCAGAAAATATATAGACTTCTACAATTCAGTGAGGAAAATACAGAAACACCAATAGAAAAATGGATAAGGACTTGAACAGTCATGTCACAAGAAATAACTAATAAAACACAGAAAAAGGTGCTCAATATCACCAGGGAAATGTTATTCTAAATTACAATGAGATATTGCTACACACCCTCCAGAATGACTGAAATTGGAAAAGTTAACAATAACAAATGTTGGCAAAGATATGAAGCAACTGGAACTCTCATTCATTTCCCTTGGGAATGTAATTTCGTTCATCCATTTAGAAAAATGGTATTATCTACTATAGCTCAATATATGCATGTCTTTTGACCTGGCAATTTCACTCCTGGATTTTTATTCTATTTAAATGAGTGCTTGTGCCCACCAAAAGACATGTGCAAACGTATACAAAACAGTTTCATTTAAAATGACTAAAAACTAAGAGCAACCCAATGCTCATCAACAAAAATGGACAAATTGTGGTATATTAAAACAATGGAGTACCACGTAACAATGACAAAAATGAGGAACAATTGCAAACAAGATAAATGGATATCACAACCATAATGTGGAGTATAAGAAGCAGACCTGAAAGAATATATATTGTATAACTTCACTTTTACACAGTTCAAAAGCTGACAAAACTAATCAAAAGTTAAAGAAAGAAGAGTGGTTAACTTTGGGAGAGTGTATTGACTATGAAAGGGCACATGGATGCCCTCTGGTATTCTGAAAATAGTATATATTTTGATGTGGGAGGTAATTATGTGAATTTATATGGAAGCAAAACACATTGAGGTGAGTATTCAGACATGTTTAGTTTACTCTATGTTAACTATATCTTAATAAGTAAGTTTTTAAACAAAAGCACAGTGGCTGCCCATGCCCCTCTACCCCTGCTAGTGGAGAGTTGTGAAGACTGAAGAGGCAGATACTATTAATAGCTTTCTAGTGTATGGGAGATGGGCTCATATTTGCACCCCTCGTTTATGGAGCAGGGCACACCAATTACAAGTCACACATGGAACCCATTCATGCGTACATTCTTGCTCTCTCTGCATACCACTATTTGTTCCTCAAATTAAAGAGGGCTACATGGGTGACCTGTGTATTTGGCCTTTGAGGCTTGTGACAATAAACTGGGGAGATGTATGCTAAGGCTGCCATAACAAAATACCACAGCCTGGGTGTCTTAAACAATAGAAATTCATTTTCTCATAGTTCTGGAGACCAAAAGTCTAAGATTAAGGTGTCATCAGGGCTGGTTCCTGGTGAGGCCTCTCTTCCTGGCTGTAGATGGCCACCTTCTTGCTGTGTCCCCACATGGCCTCATCTTTGTGCAAATGTGGAGAAACACAACTCTCTTGTCTCTTCTTCTTCTTTTTTTTTTGAGATGGACCCAGGCTGTAGTTCAGTGGCATGGTCTCAGCTCACGGCATCCTTTGCTGCCCGGGTTCAAGCTATTCTCCTGCCTCAGCTTCCTGAGTAGCTGGGACTACAGGCACATGCCACCATGCCTGGCTATTTTTTTTGTATTTTAGTAGAGATGGGGTTTCACCATGTTGGTCAGGATGGTATCGATCTTCTGACCTTGTGATCCACCTACCTCAGCCTCTCAAAGTGCTGGGATTACAGGCATGAGCCACCATGCCTGGCCTCTTGTTCTTATAAGGACACCGCCCTGTTCAAATAAGTCTTCACCCCATGACCTCGCTTAGTCTTTATTAGCTTTATTAACCTCCTTATAGGTCTTATCTCCAAATGCAGTCATATTGCTGGTAAGGGCTTCAACATATGAATTTTGAGGGTATGCAATTAAATCCACAAAAGGAGGCGATTTATTTTTTCACCCGTGTTATTATGGCCCCCTTCACTCCACTGATCTCAGAGCATTTTCTGGGGGTCACCTCAGTGTGTTCTGCAACAATCCCCTACCTCTGAGCCAGACTGACAGCTCAGCCCTGCCACCAATAGCTACTTCTGCTGTCCGTGGCTCTGGGAGGCCTCTGCTCTGCTGGAAGTAGCATCTGTGCTGGTCACCACTGGGGAGAGATGCTGTTTACTGCTGATACCCCCTGCCCAGTCCCAGTGGTGGTAAGGGGTATACTCTCTCACTAGGCACTTCCCTCTACTCCCTAAACACAGCAAGGACCAGAGAGGAATGAGGCCCTGCCTGGCCACCACAGGTCTCCATAGGAATAAGCCATCCCCTCCCCCAGGCTTTGCTCATTCTATCTCCTCTGCTGGAATACCATTCTCCCAGACTCCCAGCACTTCCCCTGGCTGACTATGCAGGGAGACCTACATCTCATTCTCCTACCTGACCACTCAGAAAGTGAGCCTCCCCTTCTGTAGTCTCCCTCAACCTCTGCAATTCACTGCCAATTTCTTCATCTGTGCCTCCTCTCTCCTCATAAAACAAAACAAACAAACTAAAAAACCACATGAGCTCCATGCAGGCAGGGTGTTTGTCTGACTCATCTGTGTCCCTGGGTACCCACAATCGGACAGAAGGGAGGTGTCAGTGGATGTTTGTTGACTGACTGAATGTGAGTGAGGATGTTGAGGGTTCCTGAAGCCCTAGGCTGAGTGACTGAGTATGGAAACCCTGCCTGCCACCATTCAGCATGGCCAAGGCAGCTGGTCTTCTGCTTCAAAGGCAGTACTGAGGCTTGACAGGTCGTAGAGCCAGGCCTTCAGGTCTAGGCTGCAGACAGCTTCCTCAAAGTCCATCTACTTTTCCCTATTGATTTTTTTCTGCTATTTCCTATTGGTTGAACCCAACCAGAAGTTGCATAGCAGGAAAACCTGTTGATGCTAATCATACAGGTCAGCAGCCAGGGCACAGAGCAGGGGGAAAAGAAGACAGGAGAGATCTGGAGGGGTAAGCAGATGACATCTGTGAAGTGTTAGGTAACACTTGGTACAGGGAAAGTGATCCACAAATTAATTGTCCAATCACAGAAGCATCCCAGAGCCTTATAGAAACCCAGATGAGGACTACCTATCCTGCTCCTCTAGCTCTTCTCCTCCAGGAGCTCCTCTCAACAGAGCCAGGATATTTTGAATACGTCCAGAGTTCTCTCAAGTCCTCCCCATCTCCTTTCCTAACTTGACTGTATTACTAGTCCTTAGTGTTTTGTTAGGGTTACTGGCTCCTACGGCCTGAGGCTTCCACAGCCTGATGCTTCCCAAGGCTGCAAGTCAACTTAGCTGACCATGAAGGGCCCTGATCACTATGGGCTGAGGAAAGGATTTTGGGTCTTCCCAGTATCCTCCCTGCCTCCCCAACCAGTGGAGGTTACAGCATTGGAGTCACTTCCCCAGGGCCTGGAAAACATCTCTCTCTTCCCAGATGCTCATGCTTATGCAGCCCGAGGCACAGGTCTCAGCTAAACCTTGGCAGGTTGGAGGGGTGGGGCACCAAGTAGAGCACCAACTCAGGCCTGGAGGGGCTTTTCCAGCAAGACTGGGGCTGCTCCTTTGAGTTCCCGGTGGGCTCCATGCACCCTCTGGTGGCCAACCTCATTTTTGCAGCTAAGCTCTGGACAAGAAGTAGTAGCTTCCTCAAAGGATTCTCCCAGAAGGCCTCATACACCTTTGCCCGGGGACAAAAATAGCTGTTGGTGCCCTGGGAAAGAGTGCAGATTAAATCCCATATCTTGAAGAGGGCAGGGTGTCAGCCTGGCTTATAGCTGTTGGGTGACCACTGGGATGAGAGGGCAGTACTTGCCCCCAAAACTGCAGCCACCAATGACAGCGTCTAATGGCCCCCCCAGTTTGAGAAAGCCATCTTTCCACCTTTACCACCTTGACCATTCATTCTTCAACCAGGAAGATGTACTATCCAAGCCATCCTTTCTCCCTTGGGCTCTGATTTCTACAGATGATAGAGGCAGACATCTTCCTGATTCTAAGCCTGCAACTTAGCTGGTTCAGGGTGTGGAATAAGGCCAGAGTCTGGTTCAAAGTCAATATCAGGCTCTGGTGCAGAGTCAAGGTTAAGGGCACAGCCAGAAGACAAAGGACAGAACCTCCTCCTTCTCATGTGATAGGCCAGCTCCACATGCTCGTATATTCATGTGAATCCTTCTGTGAGTGAGCATATGTGTGTGTGTGTGTGTGTGTGTGTGTGTGTACCCTCTTACTGGAGGCTATGGCCAAGTTGTTCTGTTTTTCATGCACTAGAGGGTCAGGGATTATCAAGCTTCTCACAGGTTTATGCAAATGTTTGAAATAAGAATAAAATACAGAAAACATTAAAAGAATAAAAACTAAATATAGCAAATGTTAACAGTATGTTACAGTCATAGTCAACTGAAGCTCAGCCATGTTCTTGCATGGTTAAGTTCAAAATGTATTTATGTGGCATGTGGGTGTATGGAATAGGTTTGATGTGGTATGAGGTAGTCAGGGCCTTTGGAGGAATGAGTGCCCTGCCCTCCTTGTGGTGGGTAAGAGCCCCAGGGCAGTGTCCTGCAGGGGCGCAAGGCAGGGCTGACTAGCAAGTTCAAATGGTGGTGTCTACTGAAGGGAAGGGGAGATCAGAGATGCAACTGGAGCTGATACTAGCAGGGCAGATGAGGGCAGGAAGAGGCCACAAGAGGGTTTAGAGTCCTTGAGGCAGGGGTGAGCAAGCCTCAGCCACACCAGTGACTCAGGCTTTTGTGATTATGTGGCAGCAGATTGGGATTATGGCTAGCCAGTGATAGCTCAGGTGGTGATTTTTTTTTTAAAATTAGCAAAAGATACCCCCTTTTCAATTCACTTTATTTCCTTCTCTTCTTTCCTCTCCTTTCTCTCCCTCCTTCCCCCTTCCTTCCTTCCTTCCCTTCTTCCTTTCTTGACAGAGTCTTGCTCTATTGCTCAGGCTGAAGTGCAGTGGTGCAGTCTTGGCTAACTGTAGCTTCTGCCTCCTGGGTTCAAGCAGTTCTCCTGCCCTAGTCTCCTGAGTAGCTAGGATTTCAGACGTGTGCCACTATGCCCAGATAATTTTTTTTTTGTGTGTATATATATATATATATATATATTTTTTTTTTTAGCAGAGACAGGGTTTCACTATGTTGCTCAGGCTGGTCTTGAACTCCTGACCTTGTGATCCACCCACCTCAGCCTCCCAAAGTGCTGAGATTACAGATTTGAGCCCAGCCACTTTATTTCCATCTACTGAAAACTTGCTCTAATGACCATATACATCTATATAATGTCTGCGATGTAGTTGGAGCTCCAGGCTTCATTGTGCAGTGCACAATTTGAGCAATGTTTGATTGGGCTAGGATCACTCTTGGGTTAGATTCACAGACACCAGTCTCACTCCCGAAAGGATATAAGGTGCCTTACTAACATGTTTCATTATAGGAAAGTGAAGTACATTCATTTAAAACTAGAGAGAACTTTGTTGCCTGGGCAACAACAACAAAAAATTTTGTAGGCAGCCTGTCTCTACAAAAAAAAAAAAAAAATTAGCCATGTGTGGTAGCATGCAACTGTGGTCCCACCAGAGAGGTTGAGGTAGAAAGATCGCTAGAGCCCGCAAGATTGAGGCTGCAGTGAGCCTCTGAACTCCATCCTGTGTTCGTGCACTGCACTTCAGCCTGGCCAGAGTGAGACCCTGTCTCAATTAAATTAAAAAAAAAAAAAAAAAAAAAAAAAAGAAGAGGAAGGGTGGCACCATGAGAGTTTGTGCTAAAACAGTCATTAAATGGGTGGTTACCTTGCAATGAAAGGAGTCTCGAATTTGAGGAAGTCAGACACTGTGATTAAGATTCCACGTCAGCCTGAAACCCAGAAGAGTGCTGGTGTGTTCTCTGAAGGCAGCCAATTTTCACTCTCCGTTCTTGTACTGTCTGTGGGTTGCCACTGATTTCCTTTAGCAAGGGCTGCTCTAGGGTAACAGGGCTGAGGGAGCCTGGATAACAAGTAGGACCTTGTCCCTAAAAGGGAGCTCAGAATGGGGGACAGAGTGTTCAACAACTGTTTCTTGAATAAATGAGTGAGCGAAGGAACATAGCACTTCTTACTTTACTTCATCAATTCTTAAGTCTATCCACTTCTCTATTCATTGCCAGTTCCTAGTTCAGGTCACTATCAGCTGTCACCTAGATGGCGCCAGACCCTGCCTCAGCCAAACTCTACTCCTCCTTCTCCCCCTCACCCACAGTAGAAAAGGTGTTCTTCCTAAATCCCAAATCTGATCCTGCTTCTCCCCTGCCTTTGCTCTGAGATGTCTGCTCCTTGTCTTTAGCCTCACATCCAAATCCTTTTTTGTGGCTCATGAGGCCTCAGATGATCTGTCCCTGGGATCTCTGCAGCTTTACCTCTTATTACTCCCCTACTGTCTGCACACCACTAAGCCCCAAATCAAAGAGGGCTTTCCAGGGTGACCTGTGTGTTTGGCCTTCGAGGCTTGTGACAATGAACTGGGGAGATGTATTAGTGTGCTAAGGCTGCCAAAACAAAATACCA